GGGGGGGGGGGGGGGGCATGTGCCCCTCCATGCCTCCCCAGTGCATCACCTATGGTTCCTGACCCTGTCCTGGGAGTGCATGAAGTGGTGGAGAGCCAGCCCCCCACACCCCCAGCAAGCTGCCTGGGGCCCCATCCTGCTCCCTGGTTGGACTCCATAGCTACACATTCCTGATCTGGCCCTGGGCCCCATGCACTGTCCTGGCTCACGAGTACCCCCAGCCCCAGCTGCCAACCCTGCCCCACTCCCTCCTCACTGTGGGGGCTTGGCATGAACCGCCGCCTCAATCCGCGCACCTCACCCCCTCCTGCCATGCACTGCCTATGCCCCCCTGCCATAAACTTACCTGCAGTCAGGTGGGGGAGCTGCTCTCTATCACACTGCCTAGGGCTGTATTGCTGGCCACATGTATGTGGTCGCACTCACACGTACACATGGTGCCCCATGCATCCGATCAGCCTTCTCCCACTCTCCCCAGCCCCAAGCAGTCCCTTGCAGGCTGGAATGCTGCTAGCCTGCAAGGGGAAACCTGCAGTTTCCCAGGTTTTTCTCCTATAAAGGAGAAAGTCTGCATTCAACCTGGATCCCTGATGATAAGCTAGGGAGACAACTGTGACGGAAGTATTTTGAATGCACTTGAGGGGACTTGAGGGGTCTGAAACTGTAGGCACTTCAACACTAGCCAAGGTCTATCAGCTCAAGTTCTGGAGGTGTAAGCAAAAAGGAAATCTGGACTTTGAAGACAGAAGTCTGATAGACCGGTCTAATCTAAATCAATTAAATCTGATACTATATCCAACCAGGTCTATCTTAGACCGGATTCCACCATTTTTAAACCTGTCTATATGCACTAAACTTCTGTTCCATTACAGATTTAGATTGGTTTCCCACTTTTACTTGTTCATGTGTAGTGTTTGTACTTAGCCACTGTGCAAAAATGAAAAGGAGGATTTAGACACAAGATAGGCAGATCGAAGAAACAAGTCAGTCAAAAATGGAAAAAAATGCATACACTTAAAGCACTGAGAGGATATTAGGGTTTTATCCAGTGACTGAGAAAGGGGAGACACTGAAGAGTTTTGAGGGAAAGATCAGGAGTTCAATTTTGGTCACATGAAGCATTTGGACATGCAAGAAAAGGAAATTAAAGGTTGGCCACTATTTTACATTAGTGAAAGGGAGACAGTGGAGAGGAGACAAAATAAATGAACAGCACTTAAAAGATATACTGTATTTTAATCACATGCAACACAAGTTTTTCCCCTAAGAAGCAGCTGCTGGAAATTGGTGTGCACATTATATATGTGAGAAATATGGTAAGAGCAGTTCCTGCCACTTACTGGGCAAAAGCTGAAGTAAAATCAACACAGCTCCAGAGGGCCTTCCCTCCCCACATTTATAAAATGAGAATTGTAATACTTCTACCTCACAAGGTTGAAGTGAGGATTAATACTAAAAATAGTGAGGTACTCAAAAATTCTGGCAATGGGAGGTAAATAGGCACCTACCAAAAGCTCCTATTATTTTACAGATAAAATGAAGCATTAAAAATAATAAAATACCCCTAAATGTTTCTCTGCTCTCTAGGCATTTGGACACCCATCCCCAGCAATTTCCTAAAATATGGGAGAATGGAAAGTTACATTAATGAAGTTGTCACACCCACTGCATGTAGTTAAGTACTGATCTCTAGAATTAAATAAGAGTCATCTAGGATGTTAGTATTTAATAGTGATAAAAGCCTTTAAAAAACTACTGGAAATGTTGAGGCATGTAACACCTGTTACTATAACAATGCCATAAGCCTAAGGTACCAGTTTAAAAGGTTAACATACAACATTAGGAGAAGCATATGTTGAGTACTGTAAAGTATATTTGTACCAAAACAGTCTTCCTGTTCATTGTATCCTGTTTGGCAATAATTCTATTACAAGAAAAAAGGCAGTGATAGGAAACAGAAGAATTGGATGTAAAAAGAAAAGCAGAGTGCCAATTAGCAAGTAAAGAAAGTCCAGTGGCCTTACATGAAGTTGCCTGGCATCTTGTTACAGAGGAAGCAATAGATCAATATATCATTTACAGCAAGCTTCAGTGTACTAAAACTGAAATATGATGCAGGTGAAAAACTGAGGTTAAAGACCCCCAGAGAATCTGACACAGTAGACTTAGTTTAGTCAAAGTTCAGCTAGTGTCATACTGAAAAGTTATGAAATTAGTTGTTTTTTTGTGTCTCTGAATAAGAAAAAACCCCTAGATTTCTAGAAGGAAAATATCAAACAAAGTTGCACAAGATCTTCTTTAACTAGCAAGGAGGAACAAGATTAGGACAGAAGAAACAAGAGATTCTGGAGAATTATTTTGAAGGAAACAAAAATATAAAGTGGAATGGATAAATGCATCTGCCAGACAACCTACCAGAAAAGATACTGAAACAAATATATAGGAAAAAGAGCCAATGCAACGTCCAACAAAAATTCAAAGAACAGGAATTAGCATTTCTAGCACTAAAATGTTTTAATATGAAAGTTGCTAAATAGACTAACAAAAACTACATTCCAAAGTCATCTAGAGTTCTGAACATTCATTTTGAGATTTTATATGGAAAATAAAAAGGTTATGGAAGATATGAAAGATGAAATAGGTTTTTCACAGATTAAAATACAAATTTTCCCTTGCACCATTCTAGAGACCTGAAGTAACTAGTTATGTTAATGTTGATAGGGCCTCAGTCTAGATAATTTCATTTCCATTCCAACTGCGTGGAGCTCAGGGCCAGCTCCCACCTGAACCTGGAGAATTGCCCAAAGACCCGCATGGCTGGAAGCCACCCGAGAGTCGGACTAGGTTGTTCGTTGGGCTCAACTTGCTCCTGACCTGGGCGCACGTGGAGATGTGAGGCCAGGAGCAGTTTAATGCAGCTGAATTTATTGCACAGTAGATTCAAACGCATTAACTGCATTTGTAGACGTGCCCACAGAGTTAAAGATTTGGCTTTTCCTACTTTGGGCTGCAACGTATAACAGCTTTACTTCTATACACAGAAAATAATTTTCTATAATAGCTCCAATATCATTCTGAACTTATTCTATAAGCAGGGGGTAGTATGAATGAGTGGTTTTGAGCAGTAGCTTGCCAGTGTATACTTACAAAATAACAGCAGAATAGCAATGCAACGAACCCCCCCCCCACTAGTAACGCAATGAGTAACACTTAGGAATTCACCATCTAATTCCCTTTCAAAACTTTAACATGTAAGCATACTTTGCTGTCTAACGTACATTATAGCCTTATATAAGCTACATCTGATGGAAAGTTTTTCATACTGTCAGTCTCCTGAGAGCTGAAACACTCGTGGAAATTGCTGCTGCTACTTTTTTTCCTTGGTCAAATTCAACTGGTTTCAATTGAGCCAATTAATGTACTTCAGGATAAAAGTGCAAATGGAACTTACATGAATGTAAATATTTAAAATGCTGAACACATATGCATATAAGGAGCTAATTTGCTTTTAAGAAGACCTAGAAAACAAATATCTGTTACTAGACCAACTAAAATAGTTGGAAAAATCTTCTTTGCAGCCTTTTGGGTACAAATACCCTACTTCAGGCAGAGTAAGCTTCTGCAGTTGTTTTGTACTCTGGATGGGCCAGAGGCTTCTATTCTATCCCATCCAGGAAGAGTATGTGGGGACATAGAGAAATATAGAGGCAAATTTCTCACAAGATAACCACTCTCTCTCCAATCTGTCAGTTCTAATCCTCAAAGGGAATTTAAAAACACCTTTTGGAGATGAGCCTATGAACTTCACTTCATCAACCTACTGGATACAAAAAAACATGGACTAAATATAGACATTGGATTTATGGCACATAACTTGCTTAACATCTGATACCCCAGGTAACATCTCTACTATTTACCAGCTGCATCTCACCACCAGATCAACACTCCCCATGCCTGCACCCTGCCTGTTTCTCACCCATTTGTCTGCCACAATTTGCATTTTCACTGACTGACATTCTTGCACACTGGCCTCTGGATTTCTACTCTATCCCAATGCAGGAAGGGCACAAAACAACTGCAGAGACTTCCTCTTCCTGAAGAAGGGTGTTTGTACCCAAAAGCTTGCAAAAAAGATTTTTTCCAAGTATTTTAGTTGGTCTAATACAAGTTTATAGATTTCATAGACATTAGGGCTGGAAGGGACCTTGGAAGATCATCAAGTCCAGCCCCTTGCTCCAGGGCAGGAAGTCAGTTAGGGTCAAAGGATCCCAGCAAGTGTCCAAGCGTTTCTTGAAAGTTCAAAGTAGGTGCTTTCACCACCTCTGGGGGGAGTGTATTCCAGGTCTTGGGGGCTAGGACCATAAAGAAGTTTTTCCTTATGTCCAGCCTAAAACGGTCTTGGAGGAGTTTGTGACCAGTGGACCTTGTCACCCCTTAGGGCACTCTGGTGAACAGGTGTTCCCCCAGATCCTGATGCACGTCCCTTATATACTCATAGGCTGTCATCGTGTCACCCCTGAGCCTGTGCTTCTCCAGACTGAAGAGTCCCATAGCTCACAGCTTTAAGTCACAAGTTCAGAAATATGGGAAGTTGACAGGAAATCATTTCGGAAGTTCAGAAAAGGTAAATATTACTTGAGAAGCAAGCCAACTTCATAATTCAGCCAATTAAGCATGCAGCATTTTATTTATACACCAAAGCACTTATCTGGCTAATAACCAATTAACCAAAGTATACTTTAGTACATGGAACAAGGTACTACACTTTCATGGTCTTGCAGAGGAGTTAACCTTGTAGAAACTGGGAACTTGAATTTAGGAACTTTATAAAGTAGTAAGTGCTAGGAGGACAACCCCCATGACACAGAACTCAGAGTAAGAACTTAATAGGATACCAAGTGCCTCCACGACAGAAACAAATAGTTATTTTTGGATGCCAAACACTGATACAAGCTACAGCAGAAGAATACACTACCTTGGTTATTTCAGGGAAGTAGCTGTCTAAACTGGATGAAGAGCTTTCCATTTTGTTTTGTTCATCATCTGCAATAATAAAGTGAACAATTTTATAACTGAACAGTTGTTAACTAAAGAAAATGGTTTCATTTTCTACAACTAGTGCATGACTGTAATTGCTACTTCCTTCACAGTAGTAAGTTTTGCTAACTGTAATTTGAAAAGAACTCTGAGTGATTGCCTACTTTTTCAGTTTTGATGCAACTACTTCCTTTCTGTCCACTTTTCCCAATTCAACAATGGAATGCAATAAAGCAGGAGCTACTTCCATTTCATTTCTCTACACCGACACTAGAAGTTTAACACTATACATAGCACCTAAGGTTCAATCTAATTTGAGGGAAGGGCTTATGAACATGCAAAAGCTGCACTACTGTAACT